CTTGGTAGCCCAGGCTGGCCTCGAACTCACAGAGATCCGCCTGGCTCTGCCTCCCGAGTGCTGGGATTAAAGGCGTGCGCCACCACCGCCCGGCAAGGATCAAATTCTAAAGCCAAGTGTATAAATACTTTAAAATGCAGGTGTTTGGGCTATTCATGTTAACAGATCATTCTGAGAATTAGAAACACAGCTCTATCTGTTCTTTACATAGTTTTGTCAAAAGACTCCAGAATACCATAGAAGAAACTAATGGTGAAGGGACAGTGTTAACTTATATTTGTGTAATTTTTGTTTTGAGGAGACAGTATTATTTGGTTCATTTTAAAGTCAATTAACTATTTACATTTCATGAGTGCACTCTTTTCAGAACAATTGAATTGATCTAAGAATGAAGCATCTTTAAGGAAAATCATCCAACACTCCACGTTTCTGTGGTCATTACTATGCACAATGGCCCTTAGAATGTGGGTTCATAGAACAACTTACCACTTGCATCCTCCTTCGCCCTTTTTCTTCTTCCCTTTCTGGGACTCCTCTCCATATGTAAGGTTATTGATGCCTGTGAGTCTCTCTCTCCCTCTGATCACAGGGAAGGAAAACTGATGAACTTATAAATTACCTGTGTTCTCTAGGCAGGGTGTCTTGAGACCCTAGGTCACCAATAACTTATCTCTTTGACCATCATTGTTCTTATCTCCAGAGTATAGATTCCTGGCATCTATTTTTGGAGCAGTGGAGTGATTCAGATGTGTATGAAGGGCAGCATGTTCCAGGGATAGAGAGCCAGCTCAGTTGTTAGAGGCTGGTACTGCTCTTGCAGAAGACTGGATTTCAATTCCCAGCACCTGTGTTGGATGACTCACAGGTTGGCCTGTGACTTTAGCTCCACACATGTACATAGCCCCCTGCTACCCAACAGATAAAATTTAGAGAGAAAATAAATCTTAAAAGAAAAGTAGCACAATACTATACTTTTAAACCAAAATGTTTCTCAAGTGTTGTTTTTGTTTTACCTTTAAATTTTTGTGTAGCTTTAGTTTCATTTTCGTTTTTTGTTTATTTTTGGTTTTGTAGTGCTGTGGATCAAACCCAAGTTCTCATTCATTGCAGGCAAGTGCTTCACTGTCAAGCTGTGTTCAAGCCAGTGGCATTTTTAGTTACACTATGTAAAACATCTTCTCTTAAATGGTCACTAACAGTAGTAGCAGAGCATGGACTGAGACCTGTTAAAGAGGGTCTCAAAGACCCTTAGAGACAAAAAAGCCTGGGACCCCGAGCCTGAGCCCTGAACCCTGAATCCTGAGCCTACTTTGTAACTTGTAGACAGTGCTGCGGTCTGCCTGGGCCCTTCTACTTATACTGTTTTGGTGTGAGTTCAGATTTCCCTCAATATCACATAGCTCTTGGTGTCTCCTTTTTCCTTCAGTTTAAAATATTCAGTATGCCCAAAGGGTTCCCCTGTAAAATTTTAAGTTTTCTAGAGGTATCTGTGGGTCCAACAGTTAGAGGCAGCTGTCCACATGTAGCAGGCAGGGAGTAGAAAGAGCCAGGTAGAATCTTCAAAGGCCTACTACCCCTGTGACTTACTTCTGCCAGGCAGGTGCTACCCCAGAAAGTCTCTACTACCTACAAAATAACCCCACAAGGTGGAGACTGATTTCTCAAAACATGAGCCTCTGGGAGAGGACTTTTTTGTTTTTTTGAGACAGGGGTTTCTCTGTATCAACCCTGGTTGTCCTGGAACTCACTCTGTAGCCCAGGCTGGCCTTGAACTCACAGAGATCCGCCTGCCTCTGCCTCCTAAGTGCTGGGATTAAAGGTGAGTGTCACCATGGCCTGGCTGGGAGAGGACGGTTTTTACTGCTGTTTCCTCAGAGCAGTTCCTAGTACACAGTTACACTAAAATATTCACTCATGAATGAAAACGGGGCACGAAGGGTACAAGGAAGGGAAGGGATTTGGTGTGACCTACTATAGTATTTTGTGTTCTAGGCAGGGGATAAAATTTCAATCATTAGTCCATTGGTCAGTTTGTTGCCATTGAAAGATCTGAACAGGAAAGTGAGAGCAAGCCATGCAATTGAAAGATTAAATTGGTCCTGAGGTGTTGGATTAATTCTTAAAATATCATCAAGAGCTGGAGAGATTGCTCAGTTGGTAAGTGCCTGGCACACAAGTATGGAGACCTAAGGTCAGGTCTCTGTGCCCACATCAAAATCTGGGTGTGGTGTACACTTGTAATCCCAGTGCTGGGGAAGCAGAGGCAGGAGGATCCCTGGCTTTCTGGTCAACTATCCTAGGTAAATTCCAGATTCAGTGAGAGACCTTATCTCCAAAAACAAAGTAGAGAATGGTTGTGTAGGATACCCATCATCCACCACAGGCTTCATCGTGTATGCCCACACATACACAAACTTAGGTCAGTGCTCACCCCCTTCCCAGCTTAGCATTCCACAGCACTGCCAGAGGTGCCTTTTGGAAATAGTTTGATTCATAAGGAACTGTTGAAATAGTTAAATGAGTTGTACTAATAATACACCCTATTACTTCAGTTTCACATACAAGAAAATTACTTTGGTGTCATACTGCTAACCCAGGGACAGATCTCAGTCAAATATAAGCAGATTCTGTATATCCTTTTTTTTTTCTTTTGGTGCTGTTCTGTGTAGTCCGGAGAATGATCTATGATAACAATAGGCTCAGTTTTGGAATGAGTAACTTTACTAAGCATATTCTAGAGTAAAGGAATAAATAGCAAGAGAGAGATAAACATCCACAAACCATCAGAGTGCCTAGATACTCAGCAGAAAGCAGTGAGCTTTGTCTCCATGGCTGACCTGGCTGTGGTGAGCTTCCAGCTTCCCCTCCCCACTGCAGGCCTCGTATACTGTGGGATGAACAACAGTGGCCTCTCTCAGAAACAGTCACCTTCTAGCTGTTCTCAGGGGCACAGTGTCTCTTGGACTGTTTGCTGTTCTCTTCCCTCCCTGTCAGAGTTGACTTGCTGGGTGTGGGGGGGGGGAGGGGTAGCCTCTCCCCAAACAAGGGACCTTGAGACCAACATTTGTGAACCTAAAAGCAAGTGTGCAACCCCACTTCCTAAGCCTGCTCCTCATTGAGGTCAGACAGCATGTGATACGTTACTAAAACGATGGGCATTATAGGCATACAGTTGAAAATTTTTATCAAAAATGCCATTTAATGGTTCTACATCATTTAGTGGTTTACTTTTTGGGCGAAGTGTTTAACACTATTCTTTCCTGCCCCCCATTTACATATGAATAAGTGAATAGCCTGTTTTCTTCTTTTTTTTTTTGCTTTGGTGTTTCTGTGGACAGGTAAAATAAATTTTTCTTTTCTACTACACTAAAGATGCTTTTAAATTGTTTTTTCACAAGTTGTAACATATCATTTATTAATTTTTAGTTTCTTATCTCATTTAAAGCTAGCACATTACATTATTTCTTTCTATTGAGAACTTGTTTATACAACAATGTGTCATGTTTTTGTTTTTATGATAGCAAAATAATTCTGTAATACTTGATAGAGCATGAAAGCTTTTTCCCTTTGTCTACCCAGGCAATCATCTATTAATAATTTCAAAATTGGTAAGGGTGGTAGGTGGAAAGGTGATTATTACTTAACCCTTTAAAGTCCCCTAAATTTTCTTAACTTCTAAATATATTCTGCTAGTCTGATTATTTTAATAAAATTCCACTTTGCTAGTTTTATATTAATGTATGCAACTTTAAGTGATTTTCAGATTCATTTAAAACTGTGTTAAATGTAACCATGTAGTTCAGTTCCTGCCGCTGTGCTGAAATATTTAAGCGCTCTGTGTACTGCTGTGTACTGCTGGTGCTGGTGCCTGAGCTGAAGTTGTTGGTCTTTAGTGGATTCTGAATTAAAAAGCTGTGCTGTGCATGACAGCTGAACCAAGACCAAGGTCTGTCTTAATGGACTGAGCACATTTCTTTCAGGTTCTGAGTTCTGTTCGCACAGAATGGAATCCTCTGGACGTTCACTTTGGCACCAAACAGCCTCATCAGGTGTTGACAGTGGAGTGCTCCATCGGTGTAGACAAGGAGCACATGGCTGACAGCTGTGTCTATGAGTGTGTCCGGAACAAACTTCAGTGCGTGTCAGTTACCAGAATTCCACTAAAATCGAAGGCCATCAGCTGTTGCTGGAATTCCACTGAAGACAAACTGATTGTGGGCTGTGAAGACTCTTCAGTAATTCTCTATGAAGCGCACCGCGGAGTGACTCTCCTGGCCCAGGCTGAACTTCTGCCGTCATTAATAAGCTGCCACCCAAGTGGTGCCATTCTGCTAGTTGGCAGCAACCAAGGGGAACTGCAAATTTTTGACATTGCTCTAGCCCCTATTAACATCCAGCTCTTGGCTGAAGATCGCTTACCCAGGGAGACTCTGCAATTCAATAAATTCTTTGATGTTTCAAGCAGTCTTGTTCAAATGCAGTGGATTGCTCCTCCTGTTGTTTCCCAGAAGTCTGAAAGAGGAGAAATCTATGATCTCCTCTTTCTCAGGTTCAACAGAGGACCTGTGGGTGTGCTGTTGTTTAAACTTGGTAAGTCCAGTAGACTGGTAAGTGCCTTGTTTATGTTGGTTACATAACTAAGGCATCAAACTATTCTTCAAATGGTAGGTTTTTTATTTGTCATCCCATAAGTATGTTTACCTTTCAGTGATTGCCTATAGGTTCCTAGAAAACATTGTGGGTAGTTTTATAATTAGCAAAAGAATATTAAATATTGGAGACTTTGGAAATTGTGCTAATTGTCCATAATGATGATTTAAAAGTATGAATTTTCGCCAGGCGGTGGTGGCGCACGCCTTTAATCCCAGCACTCGGGAGGCAGAGGCAGGCGGATCTCTGTGAGTTCGAGGCCAGCCTGGGCTACCAAGTGAGCTCCAGGAAAGGCACAAAGCTACACAGAGAAACCCTGTCTCGAAAAACCAAAAAAAAAAAAAAAAAAGTATGAATTTTCAGAGCTGGTGGTATAGCTCAAGGGTTAAGAGTGTTTGCTGTTCTTTCAGAGGACCTGGGTTCAGTTGCCAGCTCCTACATGGTGGCTCATAACTACTTATAACTCCAGTTTCAGGGAAGCTGATGCCATCTTCTGGCCTTCCCAAGCACTGCATACACATGGTACACAGAAACTCATATAAGTGTGCACACACATACACAAATATATAATAAATATTTTTAAAATCTTAACTTTCATTTATATTTTTCTGAAATAATTGTCTAAAATATTCCATAAGAAATAGATAGATCAAAATTTTAAAATTAACTGAATTCATTGTGAAAACCTGTGTTATAGAATGTGACACTTTTCTATAAAAATTATTTTAGCTCATCCATGTCTGTTGCTGTCCAGGTTGAAATTGTGTAGAACTGTTTAAAGGGAAATTAAGTAAAATACTTAGTTAGAATTTACTGAAGATCTTTGTGTAACTTTGTGGGGTTTTTTTGTTTGTATAGAAATATCTAAAGTGTCTATAAATTATAAAGTAGCCTTTAAGTTTTATATATATTATAGCTTTTAAGGTTTTCACACACACACTTTTTTTTTAAAATAATATAGCTTTTTAAGGTTCCACTGGGGAACCTTAAGGTGAAATAACATTGATTTTTGTAGCTTTGGATTACTAGGTATGTATTGAAAGAACAAGGACTGCTTTAGGTCGTTTTGTATAATTTTACATTCTTTGAGGGACTTAGGTTTACAAAAAGCATTTTTTAAATGAACACACATTATGAACTTGAAGAAAAACTAGGAAAGTGCGTTTGAAAACCTTACAGGATTTGCGGTGGATGCAGAGTTCGATTTCCGTGACATCACGGTGTTGTCAAACCCCAGGGGCTTTCGCTGTTTTCACATTGAACGTAAGAAGTAAGAGTGGTAAAAATGACTTGATTAACCTGAGATACAGAGTGCACATATGATGCCTGTGTTCCCTCTAACAGTAGAAATGCCACTGACTGTTTATAATGTTAAAATTGTTAAAAAATGTTTGGAATCTCTGTTATTATAAGAAAATCCAGTTAGACTTTGCCCAACTACATTTTAACAGCTGTATGACTCCATATACAGCACTAATTAAAGTGGATGTTTGATGTTTTCTATGTCTGTTAAAACATAAAGTCTCTCTCTCTCTCTCTCTCCCCCTCCCTCTCTCAACTACCTTTTCTTTCTCTTCTCCCCTCCCCTTAGATTACTCAGCCACCTGTCAAACAGAATGCTGTCTGTCCATGCACACCTAGCATCCTTTCTGCTCTTCCTGTGGGCCTCCTCACAACAGCTTTGCAAAAAGCACAGTTTTGTCTTCCTGTCTCTAGCGAATTTGCCTTCTTACTAAAGTAAACAGGCTCTCAGTGTAGGGATTTAGAGGGCTTCCTGCTAATTGCCAGCTTGTAAACTTAATTGGACTGTCTCCCTGGGCACTGTTCCTAAATCAATTAGGCAATGAGTTGGCTGTCACCTCTTTCCCAAGAAGGTCTCTTGGAATAGAATTATCCAATAGAAGTCAAGCGTTCAGATAGAAAGGTGATGACTTCTGCAACTGACATTTATCTTTTAAATTGTATTTTCATTTAAGTCTACAGGACAGGGAAACTGCAGTCTTACAGTTTAGCTCTTTAAAAGAGCTAAATGTGGAATATCTAAGGATTTTTTTTAAAGCTTTGTGTCCCATTTTTAATGTATTATGAAATTAATATTTATATCAAATTTTCTTTCCTGGGAGGAGTAGATTACTTGAAATAGTAGATTCCAACCAGCAATTTTTTTAAAAAAGAAAACCTAGTTTTAAAGAACAGATTTTTCTTATGATCTGCTACTAAATACATCCAAAAATTAATATACTTCTTGAATTAACACAGAGCTGATTCTGGGCATCCATGTGGCATTTTCATGTATAATTCAAGTTACTGCATATGTAAACAGGTAGTTGCATGTGCAGCTCTCCCGAGAGAGAGCTTTATGAGACTCTTTTTCAGATGCTTGTTATTCAAGCCTTTGGAAAATTTGACATGAAAGGTGTAGCTTACAATTTAAAATTGTAAAGACAAATCATAGATCATAGTTTAAAATAGAATGCTGTCACATGTAAACGTGGCAGTGGCAGATGCCAATATGCTAACATTTTTGGAGTTTCACTGTAGAACAGGTCAGTATACTGCTGTAGGAAAACTCTTAAGGATAGACGTTCCATTCTTATTCCTTTCAATGGTTACACAAGACTGTTGGGTATGTAAAAGGCATCTTCTCTGTTTCAAGAAGACTTCCCGATGAGGGTTTTCCTTGGGAAACAGAAGTGTCATGCTCCCAACGTTGCGTTCTAGACAGAGTAAGAGCACTATTCAGAAAGCCTGATGACAGTATGCTCATGCCGTGTCTGCACATATGTAGAGGGGTTAGCTATGAGAGGGCCCTGGTCACTGTACTGAGATGAAACCTGTCTAGCCCTCTCCACTCTTTAAATGCTTTAACGCCATCAGGTCTTGTCTTAACACAGACTCTCTCCTGGTATTAGCACTTCATTGCATTTACCTGCTCCCCCCTCCCCCCACCCCCACTCCACTAATGGTGTGTGTGTGCCGTGGTGAAGGGCCAGGCTGCTAGTGCTAGCCCTAGGCTGCTCTTGCCACCACTGTCCCTGTGACACCTGTCCTTTGCGGTCCTTCCTACCTACCATGAATCTTAGTACATCGGTGCATAAGCAGGCCCTGGCCACCTCATTAAAAACAAATCTTCCTTGACAGTGTTTCCCTTTTGCTTCTGAACAAGTGTTCTACTTTCTTCCATCTCCAAAGTCACTGATGTGACAGTGAACACCGACTTTGCCGACATCTTTGCTTCTCACCGCCTCCTCAGCACCATAACTATGGCTTGGGTCTGCAGCACTTTTTGGAACTACTCATGGAGAGGTCTCTGGTGATTTCCTGTGTGATAAATGTATTTCCTTTGTTGATGTTGGCTGACTACCTCCATGATCAAAGAATATTTTTTCATGACTCTGAACACAGCTCTTTTTTTCTATTGTTCACTCATGAAATGGAGTTCTTCAGGAGGATATCTCACTTTGTGCAGGTTGAAAGTTTCTTTATAATTCAGCTGTGCACTATGGTTTGACTTTCATCTCTGAAAGCCACAGTGATGTTTAGTTGCCACTGTAACAGTGGAAAGAGGTAGAATCTCCAAGAACTGATTAGGTCCCAAGGAATCTGCTCTCAAAAATGCATTGATGTAGTTACTGAGGGGTGTGTTTGCTGTGTATGCAGTCTCCACTTACCCTTGTCCCATGTCATAAGCTAAATAAACTTGCACTGCTTATAATCTACTCAGTTAGTTATAGTAGCAGAGAATGGACTCAGCCACTGTCCCATCTCTGACTCTGTCCAGAATTGTTCCTGATTCCACATCTACACATTTCCCTGAGTTGCTGGATACCGCCTCATACAATGTGTAGGTATGCAGCCACCATCACTTCACCCAAACCCACTTTTCTATATTCTCCATTTTAGTAGATGTTATAATTATTTAGTTGGACTCTCCAAATCAAAAACTTCAGTATTTTATCCCCATCAAATAGAGACCTCCTGTCCATACTCCTCTGCTTTCCATTCATTACCCCAATTATATCCCAAACACTTAAGAGATATCATTGTAACAGATCAAATTTGGTCATGGATTATCCAACTGTAATACTCAGTGGTAGATTAATAACATCTGCTTCTCAGACTATGGCTCCCCAGCCCAACCATCACAGTGTAGCTTCCTAACCAAGGCATATGCTCTCTGACTCACTTTCTGTGGTGGTGGTGGTGGTGGTGGTGGAGATGGTCTAGCTGCATGAATGACCCTACAGTGCCCGCATGGAGCCTGCCAAGCTGGGAATAACCTAAATTAAAGCTAATGTCTTTTCTCTCATTGAGTTTTAAAAATCCCAGACTGTGTGTGTGTGTGTGTGTGTGTGTGTGTGTGTGTGTGTGTGTGTATCTGTGTCTGTCTGTCTGTCTCTCTAAAAAGCAAGCACTATGTATGTTTTTTTGAGAAACTTTGTAATATAATATTTTCTTTAAATGTCATTTTTTAATAATTGAGTTTAATATTTTCACAGCTGAGTAACATTGAGTTATTTTAGTATTATAGCTTGCTCAACATATGATGGTAGTTAATTGCTGAAAAAGATGTGTCAAATATCAAATATATATATATGTATACATATCTCATATATAGAATATTAAAAGAATAGAGGAGAAAAGACATGAAAGTAGGGAGACAAGTAGAAAGGAAGATGTCAAACAACAGTAGGGGAGCATGAGAGAGGGCAGTGGAGAGGAAGGTCGAGTATGACCTGTTTTCTCTCCTGTATCTGACATGAAATCAGAAAGGGATCAGCAAGGCTGGAGGTAAGGGAGGTTGCAAAGACAACCAAAATATATGTGTAAGGAAATGTAACAATGAAATCCATTAATTCTGAAAAGGAGAGAAAAGAAATGTAGGTATTATGTTGGATGTCTCATCAACTTTAATGGCTCTTGTCATCTCTAAGTTCATTTGAAATGAACCTTTTTTCTACACAGCATCTGCTTCCTTCACTTTAGAAAGGTAATGGCTTTATTATCAAGTTTATTGAAGTGTAATCTGCATAAATACAATATGCCCACTTAAAATGCTTGTCAGTGAGTTTAATATATATGTTCCCGTGACTGCTAACACAAACAAGATACACATTCCCATCGCTCCAAAACATTCTCCTACAGTCCTTCCTCAAAGCTCATAAGCACTGCTTTGATTGCTGTCATTGCCAATTAGATTTGCTAGTTACAGAATTCCATAGAAATGTGGCCATAGAGTAAATACTCCTGTGTCTAGATGCTTTCACAGTCAGCATTAACATGCAAGAATCTTCCGTATTGGTGTTTATCTGTTAGTTAGTTTCCTTTCATGTTACCTTACAGTCATCCATTATATTGCTACTCCGTGATGCTTCATTAGTCTTTCACATGTTGATGGACATTTGGTTTATTTCAGGGTCTAAGCTAAAGCACTAAAAATGACCTGTGCTTTTATGACCAAGTCTTTATATGGACACATATTTTCATTGCTATTGGGAAAAACCTAGACATGGACATTGTCAGGGCCATGTGCTACTTGAAAAGAAAGATGGTTCTCTAAAGTTGTTGTACAGTTTAGTGTGTGGGTGAGCAAGGAGAGCAGTAGTTGTTCCACATTTTCACTAAGACATTACATCAATGGTCTTTTTCATTTTAGCCATTAGAGTGCATATATAGTACTGTTAGTTTCATTTCCCTGATGACTTTTGGAGTTGAGCATATTATGGTTAGTGCCATATATTTTTTTATTTATTATTATTTTTCCTTTTATTCACATTTTGTATTTTTAAAAATCTAACAATGACTTCTAGTAGACTTTGAAGATTTGTTTTATTTTTAATTATGTATATGTGTATGTGGACATGTGAATGTAGAACACAGGGTCCAGGAGAGGGCATTTGATCCCCTGGAGCTGGAGTTACAAGTAGTTGTGAGCTGTGTGTTATAGGTACTGGAAACTGAACTTAGGTCCTCTGCAAGAACAGTTAGTGTGTACTCCTTTTTTTTTTTTTTAAGGTTTATTTATTATGTATACAGCATGTATGACTACAGGCCAGAAGAGGGCACCAGATCTCATTGCAGATGGTTGTGAGCCATCATGTGGTTGCTGGGAATTGAACTCAGGACCTCTGGAAGAGCAGCCAGTGCTCTTAACCTCTGAGCCATCTCTCCAGTCTCAGTATGTACTCTTAACCACTGAGCCATTTCTCCATTTCCTCAGGGCCAAATCTCTAGTGATAAATCTCACTTGGTGACATTTTTTGTCAATATTTGGAGATTTCCTAGTATCTAATTCCTTTGATGTTAGAGAACTAATCTAGTCCTATGATTTCAAACCTTTGAAATGCACTGTAGGATGTTTTATTACTCTGAACATGCTTTAGCTTGGTGCATGTTTTGTGTGTCCTCAAAAAGAATGTGTGTTCCACTGTTGTTGGTAAAATGTTTTACAAGTGTTGGGTTAGGAGTGTAGCTGCTCTTGGACAGGCATGGCTCTGCACACCTGTAATCCCAGCACAGGAGAGTCAGAAGCCAGAGAATCAGAAGTTCAAGATCATCCTCTACTATATTAAGAGTCTGAAGCCAGCCTGGACTACGTATGACCTGTCATGGAAAAAAAAAAAAAGAAAGCAAAGAAAATATATCTAGTTGTTAATTTTTCACTGACAGTGTTTTTCAAGTATTTTTTCAGAATTTCTGTTTATATAGTCTCTGATTCATGAAAGACACACTGAAATCCAGTTGTCTACTTAGGTCCTCCCACCCCGTTCAGTTCTGTCCGTTCTTGTTGCATTATTCAGAACTCTATTATTAGATGTATTTAAAGACTTTTCTATCTCTTCATGAATTTTGAATCCTCTATTATAAGAGTTTAGAATTCTAGGTTATTTTTATTTTTATCTTAAGCCCTTTAAAAGTGTCTTCCTGTTGTTCTAGTTTGCATAATTTCAGATGCAAAGCCTATTATCATTCATTTTTTGTTTCTCTGTATGTCCTGTGTCTCCTCCACCACCATTAAAAATAACATTGTCTTTACTTTTGAACTGTTTGACTGTGATCATATGTAGCCTTTGTTCAGAGCGGCTTCCTTCCGCCTCTTGTTCCTAGTAGAATTGCTGTTTCTGACAGAGGTTGGGGAAAGAGACTGTTTTCAGTTTCTGCAAAGTTGCTGCACATGCCATCTACTGCCAGGAGCTGCCTGATTTATGACTAGGACTTCCAGTGCTTGACACAGACTCATGAGCTTTGGTAGTTACATCTGTTGATTCTACAACTTAAAAGGAATAGTAAAGTTTTACTGCTTAGTATACTTAGGGCCATTCCCCAGATTCCCTGTCAAGTTGAGTCTTGTAAGATGCAGCATAAGTAGGTTTGTTTTTTTTCTTTTTATGTAACTTGGAGTTAGTATGAAGAATTTTAGCATCTTTCTCATGAACTAATATATTTTGAAAATCATGAAACCTATAAATATTCCAATTAAATTCTGATGACACTAATAAAAAGAATTACAGTAATGTTTTATATTATTTTATAGCTTATAAAATAATTTCACAGAAAATTTCTCATTTAGTTTTATGATTATTTGTACTGAGTTTTTATAGACTTACCTAAATCAATAAAACACTTGCTGAAGAAAAAAAAAAACTACAGTTAGCATTTAAATTTTTTCCTTTGGTGTGTATGGATATTTACATATTTGTGTGTATGTTATGTGTGTGCTCATGTGGAGGTCAGAGGTCAGTTCTGGAGACTTTCTCAGTGTTTTCCATTGTTTTGGTCCCTCTCTGAACTTGAAGTTTCCCCATTCAACTAGACTGGCTGGCCAGCGAGCGCTCGGGATGCCCTGGCTTCATTTCCTCTGCACTGAGGTCATAGACATGCACTGCTCTGCCTAAGTTTTACATTGGCTTCTGGAGGCTTGACCTTGGGTCCTCATGCTTACTCGCCAAGCAGTTCATCAGCTGGGCCATCTTCCTAGCCCCATGTTTAAAGGAAGAAGAAACAAAACAAACAAAACGGAACAGTGCTTAAAAGGTAGTGTTTGCCATTTAACATGGAAAAATTGTCAGTTTCAAATGCCAGTGGCCTTTTCTAAATAAAACTAAATGACTCTGGCTGAACTTTTTTTTTTTAATGTTCCTGCTCTGTCAACATTAGAAGTGGATTTATTTTCTTTTGAAAGGGGCAAACCAATGTGCCTCTGATTTCCCAGTATGTTTTTTCCCTTGTGTAAAGAGTGTGTTTGGTTTTATTACTTTACTTTGTATTTTCAAGATTCACCTGGCTTTACTTGTTTTGTGGCAGGTGTCCTCACTCGAGGACAGCTTGGCCTGGTAGACCTCATTCTCCAGTACGTTCACTGTGATGAGGTGAATGAGGCAATAAACATCCTGAGCAGCATGAACTGGGACACCATGGGCCAGCAGTGCTTCGTCAGCATGAGCGCCATCATGAACCATCTTCTTCGACAAAGACTCACTCCGGAGAGAGAAGGTCAGACATCAGTGGTTTTGAGTGTACATGAAATCCATTTTGAGTCAGTTTTAGAGTAATTGTTAGTTATGTTATTGGAGACTGAAGAACAAAAGTATTAATGCAATATTAAAATTGAAAGGATATCAAAAGTTATTACCAAATGCTACTTCCCGTGTGGTATTTGTCAACACAGAGGACACCTTTTCTGCCTGTGTCTGTGTTGAAACTCACAGTGTTGTCGTTACACAGTTCAGTCAAGCTCATGTGGAATATGCTCAGATTTAAGATCGATCAGAAATTTCATTTATTCTCTCTGTCTGCAGACAAAGGACAGCAAACCAAGGTCATCTTCTTCTCTCATGTTAAACACCAGCGTGTTTTCTCACGCGTAAGTCCCCTGTTGGGAAAGTAGTTCCTTACACTCCCTTCTGTGTGTGTCAGAAGTGTCTGTAGCTCAGCTGCTCTTCTGGTTTTCATCCTTGGGTCTGTACCTGTGATGTACACCTCGCTTCTCCTGCTTGGGTTCCTCACCTTTTCTGGGGAATCTGCCCACGGAAATCCAAGACGAGTATTGTCGAGGTTGAGGGCACTAAGGAGACAAATGACACATAGCTATGCAAACAGGTTTTTACATCTGCACTTCTCTAGCATGTATTTATGAGTGGTTATTCCTTTATATGATACAAAGTACACCAAAATAGCTGGGATTTAGAAATGTATTTCATATCTTTGTGCTACTTATATAAACATTAGGAAGTTATGACTAGACAGTATCACTAAATAATACAGGGTAAGAAAATTAGGGAGGGTCTGTTACTGGAGAACATTTTCTTTTTTAGTATTTTCAGTGTGTTTTAATAGACTTTCTTTATTTTTATTACCTTTTCAAAATAATAAGTTTTTTTTGATAAAATTCTATAGTTGACCAGTAAGCTCGTGAATCTCTAGGAAATTTATAGTATAGACTTTAACCTAACTCCCAGAATTCCCTTCTAATATGTGTTTAAGAATCAGCTAAACTTTTTGAAAGTAGTCCAAATTCTTCTATGGAAATGTCAGTATTTTTACATGAAGAAAATGTCTACCCAGCCGGGACTGACCTACTCTGGTGATGGGATGGCCAAACACCCTAATAGTTGTGCCAGAAACCCCATCCAAGGACTGAGGAATCTGGATGCAGACATCCACGGCTAGGTCCCGGGTGGAACGCTGGGAGTCTAATTAGCGAGAAAGAGGAGGGTTTATATGAGCGAGAATTGTTGAAACCAAGGTTGGATAAAGCACAGGGACAAATAGCCAAACGAATGGAAACACATGAACTATGAACCAAAGGCTGAGGGGCCCCCAACTGGATCAGGCCCTCTGAATAGGTGAGACAGTTGATTGGCTTGATCTGTTTGAGAGGCATCTAGGCAGTGGTACCAGGTCCTGGGCTCATTGCATGAGTTAGCTGTTTGAAACCTGGGACTTATACAGGGACGCTTGGCTCAGTCTGGGAGGAGGGGACTGGACCTGCCTGGACTGAGTCTATCAGGTCGATCTCAGTCCTTGGGGGAGGCCTTGCTCTGGAGGACATGGGAATGGGGGTGGGCTGGGGGAAGGGGAGGGGGGCAGGAAGGGGGAGAACAAGGGAATCTGTGGCTGTTATGTAGAACTGAATAGTATTGTAAAATAAAATAAAATAATAATAATAATAATAAAGAAATATCCAAAAAAAAAAGAAAAGAAAAAGAAAATGCCTACCACAGTGCATGACCCACTGTTGGTATTCAAGAAATATAGGTTAGAAAGAAAAAGTATAAACCCAAGATTTTAGGGGATCAAAATTACTGTAATTTTGCCTATAGAGTTATCTCAAGTAATTATTTTTTTTTAATATTGATACACTTCTCAAGATTGAGTACTTGTCAAAAGTAACAACAGAAACAAAAGAACAGAGTCTCCCAGGTTTGTAGTGATGATATACATGCTCTGTGTAATAAGTCCCAAGTTCACAGTTAAAGAAGAAATGTGGAGACATAAAATATTGAGTTTCACTCCAGACACTGAGTAGTTGCTTGCGCCTTATTTAATTTATGTTATTAAATTGCTAGGTTGCAAGAAAGATTATGAAGAAATGCACAAATGGGCATTATCAGATTCCTATCCTAATAAAGGATTTTTTCACAGACTTGTATTGGAGAAATAGAGAAATAAAAAGCTTTTATGATATTGGGCTTTTAAAACAAACTCTATATATATCCTGGGTTATCCAAATATGTATATGCTAAGTAGCTATGTGCATTTCCTCCCAAGTAACTACAAAACACATTTCTAAAACATTCAGAATTCCCTGTTGAGATTTATTTTATCTGAATCTAACAAATTTGACATGGTAATTCATTGGCCTTTTATTAGTGAAGCCTAGTGCGCTGTTATTTCTATCCGTGTTGTGTCTGTCTTTGAGATCTTCATTTCCGCCTTCAACATCAAGCTGGGCAGCCTAATGAATCCGTAGCTGTGCTGGGAGTTACACGTATTCCATGTAGACTTGAACATTTCAGATGTACGGAACATGCTGTCAGGAAAACAAGCAATAGGAAAAGAATCTGGCTTGTTTTCACAGTGACAGTGCTATGTTCAATTTTAATCTAAATTGACTGCTGCTTTGAAAGAAAATACCTCCAAAATGCATCCTATTTTACTGTCTAGATTTGAGATTGGAAAAAAATAAAGACATTACTGAAGCTTAGTCAAGCCATAGCAATTACTCTGATGAGGTATTTACTACTTGGAAATCTAAATAGGCTGACAACTAAGAGTTTTGCTAAATAATGACTTGTTTATTCAATCCAGTGTTGGAAGCACAAATATTAGAGGAATCTAACTGTGAACTATAGTATACTCATACATACTCATGTTCTCTCCATATGGTAATTGCTTCCAGGTATTTGTGGGCAGAAGCACAGCCCCACTGGCATATCTTGGTAAAACTGTGAAGTAGACAGGCCGCTCCTTATCCCCTAATCTCTTATCTCTGAGCCTTCTCCATTTATGAAAAACATCTTTCCAATCTTCTCCTATCCCAGGGTGTTTGTTTTCATGAAAGGACAAACCACGGAACCTTGTTTATGTCAGGATTTAGGGACAAGATACAGATTTTCATTGTTCTAAAATTGCATCACAGACATATCTTACTCCAATATACAAGTCTTTATTTGTATTATTTAATTTTAATTATATATATATAGTTAGTTAGTTAGTCACTTAGTGAGTGTGTGCGCGCGCGCGTGTGTGTGTGTGTGTGTGTGTGTGTGTGTGTGTGTGTGTGTGTGCATGTGCATTAGCCATACTATATGTGTGGAAGTCAGAGAACTTGTGGGAGTCAGTTCTCTCTTCTGCCATATGGATGCTGGGGATTGAACTCAGGTCATCAGGCTTGGTAGCAGATGTCTTTCACTGCTGAGCTATCTTATTGGCCCCTTATTGGTATTTTTTAAGAAAACATTTCTACTGTGCTAATTTCATTTCCCTGTTCAAAAAGTTAGTTTTCTCCTTTCCAATTAAGAGAACACATAATGTTGAGCACACCGCAAATTGATTTTACTGGAAATACTAGTTTAAACTGTATTACTTTGATGAGTCACTGTTTTAATTACCCATTTGTGGTGAGACATTGGTTCATTATGGATTTCAATTTTGACAGCTTTTTGTTGCTCAGAGTCATTGTCAGCTTTGTCTCAAGTGACAGTTTATACACAGGTTTGTTTTTGTACCAGCTGTCATATTTTAATTTCATCTTTCCTGCAACAAGCTCACATTTCATCCAAATTTGCAGAACCTGACTGACTGCAAACACGACTAGTCTGTTGTAACTGAAGGAGTTTCTCTTATTTCAAGTGCTGCTTTGTTTGAATTCCACAGCGCAGCTTGAGACAAGCCTTGGAACCTTCTATGCTCCAACAAGACCACTTCTGGATACAACTATTTTGGAGTACAGAGACCAGATCAGCAAGTATGCCAGGAGATTCTTCCACCACTTGCTCAGGTGAATGATACCGCCAGTTGGTGGGCATCAGCTACATGTTAAAGAGTTGCCTTTCATGAATGCTCCTCCATAATATGACCATTTTCTGACAGCTTTCCTCTTTAAAAGAAAAACACTGTATTAGTCTTTATTTGTTATTCCTTTCCTTTTTAGGAAATACTGAATATTATCTAGGGCCTTTACATCATCAGTAATACATTCTACCCTTTAATATGATACGAAAAGCTATGTGGAAAAGTCAGCATAAAAATGTGAACTGAACTTTGTTCCTAGCCTAAACAAACATTCTGGTGTAAACTGAAGGCAGAACTCTGTGTCTGTGCGGTGAGGCTGTGCGGCAGTTGTTAGCTTGCTGTCTTTTCACGATTGCTAGAGAGACTTCTCCATTGTCCTTGCATACGATGTGGCAGTTGCCAACGTCACTGTAACTCATTTTTCTACTTTATATGTATATATAAGTGTTCTTTCAACCTCCCAAATTATTTGACAGTTTGATAAAAATGTCAAATATTGCTCTGAGAAAAAATATTCTGTAAGTTGGAGGAGAGCATACATTCACAGAGAAGGATGGAAGGGAGATAAAAATCTGGATAGAAAGATTACAGACTCATAAATGCTGTGGTAACTAGTATTAAAATCAGGTAAATGGTTATTGTGAGAGTTATTTTCTGGAATGAAAAGAAATGTAATAGTGTACAGGTGACTGGGATGCTCAAATACATCAATCACGATCCATTTCTCAGGATGAGTGGTATATACCAGGGTCTGTTACAAATTCTCTCTTTCAGATGTTCATGTGCCCTTACTGTATTCTGTATACGTGTGTTATAGTAAAACTTTGCGTTCTGTTTACAAAAAGGAAGGACTATGTGAAGGAGTTGACTTTTCTAATAATGTCCTTGCTGCTGTGCTGTGCAGGACATTGAAAGACTTTGATAATAGTCTCTTATTTTTTATCAGAACAACTTTATAAGGGAGTGCTATCATGTCCTGAAGTAATAACCTCAGGCTTAGAGAATCGGCTTACTTAGATGAACAAGTGGCCGTGGATCTAAGGCTGGTTCCACTGTTTTTTACTCGTTCCTGAAGACACTTACTATAACTTGTTGTTTAGTTTTCAGATACTACCTTCCAAAATAACTGTGAGTTGTCATCTGTGCAAGAATAGGCTGACTGACAGATGTTCAACTGTCCCAAAGTGGGGGGGGGGAATCTCAGATTGGTCAAGCTTGAGGACAGGCATTTGTGCTCCATAATTAATTTTATCTATATATAAAGTGGTACTTTGAACTCTACACAGCAGTGAGGCCTTTAGAAAATCATATTTTTGGAAGCCAGGGAATGTTAATATATTGCAAGAGTTATTATCTGTAATTGAATCTTGCCTTTTTATCTGAATGGTGTTAGCATATTTCAAGAGACTCTCCATCTTCAATGTGGCAGTCTTCATCCATGAGCATATCCTAAACACCAGGGTTAAAGGCACGCGGGCTTGAACTCACGGCTTTGCTCTTTGCTTTCCTTGCTGCTTTGTTTTTCTTGTTTCTGGGGAAGATTGGTGAGTGAACTTCTTAACTAAAAAGCTCAGAAAGATCACTGTGGTTTTGGCCTCTTGATTTTACAGCAGTTGTTTGTATTTTTACAACCTCTGCCCTAGGAAGCTCATGCATGAAGGTGAATGTTCTTCCTCTATGGGTTTTAAACGGGGTGTTCTGTGACAGGGTGACTCTTACTGCTGCCCTCAGGATGATATTTAAACTCGTCTGTTTGGCCCTGTGAGCTGTTTCTCTTCGGGAATGCTTACTTTTTCATGTTCCTGTTTTTGAATGCTTTTAGTTGCAGTGAAATTCACTAGTTTCTCTTTCAGTAGCAGGCTACACAGGGCATTAAAAAAAGAAATGGGAGGTGGTGGCGCACACCTTTAATCCTAGCACTCGGGAAGCAGAGCCAGGTGGATCTCTGTAACTTGGAGGCCAGCCTGGTCTACAGAGCGAGATCCAGGACAGGCACCAAAGCTACACAGAGAAACCCATCTTGAAAAACCAAAAAAGAAAAAAAGAAAAGAGAAATGTATGTTAGTAGAAACTGAATGAGATAGCCTAAGTTGGAAACATCTTTTTGTTTAATCTGCCAAGAAGTTTTATCTAGAGGAAATGAAACGGTCAAGATGCCTTTTTTTAAAACAGTGGGACCTGGTAGGATTGCACGAGACTTCCTGGTTTGGCTGGCCATTGCTTTAACGCTCCCTAAAAACTTATTAAAGAATTAAGGGCACCTTGGGACATTTTAAATTATGGAAGAAGACAGGAGCCTCACGGAGATTAGGAACGTAGCTGAGGTTCTCGAGTGGGACTCAGGTGGGATTCCTGATGAGGGGGATGCTGCGTTTTCCTTACTTCGATACAGCGTACAAAGGCTGAGGTCACAGTCTGACTTTGTGCTAATAGACAAGTATATGTGTGGTTGTCAAAACAAATGTTTGTATACAATTTGGGTTTTGTTCTTGTTGGAGAGCAATTCTCCAGACATCTTTCTGTGTCTCTTAGCTTTTCAAGTTCAAACATACTTAAACTGTAAGAATTATTTCTCATATCTTGAGAACTCTTTGTATGTGTTCAAAATTGCTGAGTTTCAAAAAGAAATGTTCCCTGATAGTATCAATCATTCAATAAAGTATTTACTTTAATAAAGTTAAAGAAGTAATAGTCTATTTATAAAAATTGTTAAGCTGCAGGACACCTACAAAAAATAAATGCAGCTTTGCCTGAAATATGCTTAGAAAGTAGTTCTTCACCTTTCCACCTCTGTGAAACTGAATAGTCTTCAGAGCACTTAGTGGGGAACATTACCAAATGAGAGCTTTCCACCCCAAACCAACAGAAACTGTGATAGGAACAAGTAAAGACTGACGAAATGAAAAAGCAAACATTTCACATGACTATGCCCCATAGGAAGCTTATTTCGTCAATATGAAAGTAGAATGATTTATAGAGTTAATGATTTATTTTAATTAATTCTCTTTTCAAACATAAGGCTACTGTTTTCTGATACAGTGATGTGAATATGATTCTGACATAAAGGCAGGTGCTTTTGAAATGCTTATAAAATAGTAAGCTATTTTGAGGAAGAAGACTTACTGCTTAAAAATAAAAATATGGTATTTATTATTTTATGTAGAGGAATATAAGAATACATGTGTTGTCCCTTACACACAAAAAATTAAAATGTATTGGTGTAGATAAGAACAGATAAGTGGCTAGATGTGTGGTAACAGTTGTACCATGATGCTAGAGCACAGATGGTCCATGTTTATTCTGTCAACTTTGCTGTATAGCTGTACATTTCTCTAAGAGAATGTGGCTAGTATATCTTGTGTTAGTGTTAATATTTGTACTAATAATTCAGGAAGAAGGGAAGAGCCAACCAGGGATTGAAAAACCTGAAATTTTGAGCCAAAATGAATCTTACTTCCTTTTGTTTCTCTTTTGATATTTATCACAGCAACAAAAAATCCAACCCATGGGGCAGGACAGAAAGTGCAATGGTAAAGAATGCATACAGGTCTTTTAGAGGACTTGAGTTTGGGTCTCAGCATCCATATCAGGTGGCTAGCAGCCCCCTTTAACTCCTGGGGATCTGATGCCTTCTTCTGACCTCCATGGGCACATGCATGCACACAGACAGAAACATGCGCACATGTGCATAAGAATTTTAAAGAACCTTGGTATATGCCACTGAAAGCAAACCTGACATTTCTGTCTTGTTTATCTGCTCAGTTATGATGTCTGAAAACTACAGCGTTAAAATGAAAGCACATACTTAACTTAAAAAAAGAATTAGGGGCTGGAGAGATGGCTCTGTGTTTAAGAGTACATGTTTATCTTGCAGAGGGCCTAGGTTCAGTTCCCAGCACCCACTGGTAACTCCAGTTTCAGAGGGCTCAATGCCTTCTTCTGACCTGTGGAGAAGCCAAGCATGCATGTGATGCACAGACATGCATGCAGGCAAAACACTTAACACAGAAAATGAATACATCTAATTCGATTTTTAAAAAACTCTTAGGCTATTTAACTATTAATAGAGAAACAGTTGGGGGGGTGAAATTTCTTTTTAGTTTTGGGGCTCCTCTGGTCGCTGAGACACCACAATCTTTTTGTTTCTGGCTCCTTTGAATTTGTAATGTCAGACATAAGGTCTCTGAGATAAGCTTTACCTACTTAGGGAGTTCTAGGTTTCCCAAGTCCAAGTGCACACTACTGAGAATGTCAGTAGTAAGTTAGGAAGATTGGCGCACAGGAAAGTAGTTAGTGTACCTTCAAATCCATCCACCGCAGCGCTGTCTGCTGATTCTGACTCTCATAACCATAATCACCTGCGTGCTAAGTATAACCTTGTTATGACGAAACCTACTTGTGACAGTGTTAGGCAATTGGGAATCTTAGGTCATTTAAGGGTGCTCCTCAGAATTAAGCCATTGCTGAGCAAATGTTGCCTAATGTTTGCCTGAGGCCATTTTCTCTTAGCAAACCTGTAGTCAGAACTTCTTAAAGACATAAAGATGTTGATCTGTGTTAAGTCTTTCCTTTAGGAAGAAATAATTGTTACCCAAAGGAAGGCAATCCTAAGAAGTGATAAGATTATGATTTTAGGCCCTAGTACTCCTCATGGTTACAGGAGAAAGGTTTTTTGTTTTTGAAACTTTGGACTTTTTAGTTAACAAAGAGTACTTCTGTGTATTTATAGAGAACAGTGTGAATTGAATCAAGTTAATTAACATACCTGTCATCTCATCAATTTATTCTTTTCTATACAGAGGGTTTTGTATTTTAGCAAATTAGAAAGATGTAATACATTGTTATCAACTGTGGTTGCCACACAGTACAACAGATCATGACAACTCACGCTGCCAGTCTGGTGGAGGCGCGCTGTCCATAGGATGAACATCGTCCCGTTCTCTGTGCCTTCCCCTCAGACTGTGTTTCTGAGGTAATTTAGTAGCA